AACAGATCATGGTGTTGGAAAGGTGAACACAAATAAGTATATTGAGTGAGTGAGTGAGTTTGGTTGGTTTTACGCCGCTTTTAGCAATATTCCAGCAATATCACGGCGGGGGACACCAGAAATGGGCTTCACACATTGTGGCCATGTGGGGAATCGAACCCGGGTCTTCAGCGTGACGAGCGAACGCTTTAACCACTAGGCTACCCCACCGCCCCAATATGTATATTCACGTTCGTGATGAAATCTGTGGCCTGACATCACTAGACATTTCATAAGCAGACGTGGATATTCCAAGATGACAATGCTCCGTGACATGTTTCGCTGCGAGCCAATCAATGGGAAAATGGAATTCGCACTTTGCCACGGCCTGCTCAAAGTCCGGACTTGAATGTGGTAGAAAATGTGTGGTAAACTCAGAAACATTGTCTGAAAAGACGAGTTCATGAAATCATTAACAACGACGATCTGATTCGGATCATCGGGGGTATATGGAGAGAACTCTCTCTTGCTAACATCAGGAGCGACAGCATTCCAGCTGGGATTCGACAGGTTCTTAGAACTCGACGTCATATCTCAAAATACTGGAAATTTCACGTGTGTACCATTTCAATTTACAAAGTTATTGTGCTATAAAATCGTGGTACAAAATTGGGAAATAATGTGACGTCACACTTCTGCGAACTCAGTTTTGACCACTGACTATCTATTCTATTTAAACGAATTGTTGCTTAGAAATACATCAACAAAATACATTACAAATAGTAACGGTATCATCTTCGCATTAAGTTATAAAGCAGTTTGAGTATATAATATGTAAGTTTATTAAGAAATAATATCTGTCTTGGACTGAGTTTAATGGAATATAATTTATCTGCGCCCTTTGGAAGCTGGTACCAGAATACTAATTGACATCACAGCATTGCGATAAAATGTTTATTACCCATATGGTGAAATATAACCAGTGTCATATATATCATATGTGCACATATGATTTTTGCCTAGTAAACATTGTTTCTGTATTTCATCGTCTGTGGCGTCATTAAACAATTGTACGTGACGTCAATGAAGAGCGCCGTCACACTTGTTTCAGAGGCCCAGATAAGCTGCGTATCCGGGTAAAATAGGCATAGAGAATTTCCGCATTGAAAAATAATTGTTGCGTACCAATTACGCATTTAATATGTTAGATACGCAAAAAGTTTAAAACAAATGCGTACGGATACGCAAAAAGTTTAAAACAAATGCGTACGGAATATATATATAAAATCGCTTGCGTAATGAAAATGACAGATTGCTATCAAGTTGTACTGTTAGTATAGGACAAGTGTTGTACTGTCAGTATAGGATGAGTGATTTTTTATGAAATCATTTCCATTATATTTAAGTTGTTTTTTTTAGGTATGACATAAGGCAGAACATACCTGCTTAGTAAACCTACTCAATGACATAATACTTAGCTGAGTAAAATGACTGAAATACGCACATATTTGAAAGCAGTGGGTAACGGAAAATGAAATACCCACTCAACATTCATAATACCCATTCCAAAAAAATACAATGGGTACAGTACCTACAAGAGCTAAATCTTATCTGGAGCTCTGCTTGCTTACCGTGTTTTACTGCACAAATATACATGAACAAAATGGATAATAATGACATTATTACACTCAGAGTGTGAAAGTTTGTATTGCACGAGCGAGTGCGAGGGCATTACATATGTTTGCACGAGTTTCGTATAAGTCGTATGACACACTTGCTCGTGTAATAATCCACGCCAATAATATCCACATCCACGCGTGACAGTTCAAAACAAGAAATTTAAAAAGAACTAACGGCATGGAAACACGAAATACTGTATTTGAGCTGACCAAAAATGTAATCTTCAAATACAGCGATCGGTTTTACACGACACGTTACACGCCAAAACACTATTTCTGTATGAAGCGAACGTAAAATATGCATTTCATTTCGTCAACGCTCGGGGACATATCTGTACGTAGATTTGATGTGTGTTTTTTGTTGTGTGACGTCACACTCAGCAATATTCTAACTATATGGCAGCAGTCTGTAAATAATTGAGTCTGGACCTGACAATCCAGAGATGAACACCATGAGATTAGTGATACGACATGTGATACGATGACATGTGTCAACCAAGTCAGCGCGCCTCCGATCCCGTTAGTCGCCTCTTACGACAGGCACTGGTTGCTGAAGACCAGTTCTAACCCGAATCTTCACCGGTGTCCGTACATAGAGTACCATGGAGTGTAGCCTTGGTGACTAAAGCCATTTCCAAAACCAGAAAGTGTGAACAGAATGAAGTCTTAAATGTGGAGAATTGGGAATGGCTGGATACGCGAACGAATAACTGACTCGCTATATTCAGGTGAGGTGAAATTGGGTTTAACGTCGTGCTTGAGAATATTTCGCTCATATGACGACGTGCATGCGTGTGTATGTGAATGTGTGGCTGCTTGTACTAGCCCAGACTTAGCTGGTTTTATAGTGCTAGCCCACTGAGATACCATACCGCAGTGAAGCATGAATACCCCACTCAGACACATTAAACTGACTCCGAGCCGACCAGTCTTTGTTGTACCCATTAATGCCGAGCGCCAGGCAGGGACCAACAAGTACCATATTTTAACGTCTTTTGGTATGACGCGGTCGGGGATCGAACCCGCGACCTTCCGCTCTACGGGCGGACGCTCTAACACTACACCACGGAGGCGGTCCGCTATATTCAGAATTATGTTGGTGGGTGGGTGGGTGAACATTTTAGTGTTAGTGTGTTAATATGTAACTTGTTTGAGTGGCATTTAGAAGTTGGTGTGATGAACAACGAGGAGATCTCTATGAATATACAACTTCTTTAATATAATATGAGCGACGTTTCGGTGTAGCTAATAACACCGTTATCAAGCAAAAAAGAATCTTTCTTTTTTTCTTTTTTGTTGCTTGATAACGGTGTTAGTAGCTACACCGAAACGTCGCTCATATTATATTAAAGAAGTTGTATATCTATAGAACTCTCCTTGTTGTGTTAATATGTGTTACTGCTTTAGTGTTCTTGTGTGCTAGTTTTAGTGTGTTGGTATGTTAGTAACTTAGTATATCAGTGTTAATGTATTTAGGTGTCGGCGTGTGTGTTAGCATGCGTATGTCAGTAAGCGTGTGCGTGCCTAAACAAGGGCTGGTGAACTACACACAGATATTGGTGTCCCAGCAGCTGTGTGTGGTGATGAGCAGGACAGGGACACAAGGCATGTGATGAAAAAGGAATCTTAATGGCAATATTCAAGCAACATCACGACAGAGAAAAACAAACATTTGCATGATACAGCGGGTTTTGGGCACATAGCCTGATAGCTGACAAAGTTCAGTTTGCACAAGGTATATATTTGTTTCCACTTATTGCATAATTGGGTACGAGTCTTTGAGATTCCTTAAGAAGCCAAATAACCCACTGGATAAAGAAAGCAGTTTTTGTATTGTCTATCTTATCTTAATTCCAATTTAAACACTTTCCTAGCTAACTCTATCTGTGGTTAGAAGATATTAAAACCCCGTGAAGATCAGGGTTAGAATTGGTCATATCATTACGCATATAATTCTGAACCTGGGGAGTCAGTTATTGTTTCGCGAATCCAGCCATTTTGATTTCTCCATATTTAAGTCTATATTCTACACTTTGATATATCTGTTCACACTTTCTAGCTAAAGTAAACACATTTTGCCTTCAGCCCTCAAGGCTACACTCTATGGTACTCTAAGCACTGACACCAGTGAAGATCTGGGTTAGAATTGGTCTTCAGCAACCCATGCTTGTAGTAATAGACGACTAACGCGGGATCGATGCTTATGGTGTTGATCAATGGATTGTCTGGTACAGACAATCAGTTTCTATTGTCTGTGCTGACGGGTGAACTTTTCTACTACTTAGGTATTTGGTAAATCGGAACGGTTCAAAACGGGCACAAATACTTAAGTCAAAACGGCTAAAGATAAAATGTCAAAAGGCCCAATATGAAAAAAATAATTATTGAAATAATCATATATAGCCTTAATCTCTATATGATTTCTCGATATTTTTTTTTATACCCAAGGAATTAAAATAAAAATAGAATAAACTTTGGCCAGTTGTGAATAGACGCACTACCCGCGAAGGCAAGCTGCGAAGATACTTTAAGTCGAGAGCTATCACTTCCAATCTAGAAAGAGATATGACTCCAGCGGTATGTAGAAAGATGGAAATCTCAGTCAAATCATGTGTGAGATCTCAACAGCTCAAACACATGCTCAATTCCGACAACTGAAACAGGCTGATACGGCTGTTCTTTGTGATGGCCGTGCATCTCCTTGTTCTAATCAACCCGTGAAGAAGGCAGTACCCATCCTTAACAGTGAATACATGCTTAGACCAGTGACGATCCGAGAATTGATCTTCAGTAACCCATGCTTGTCGTAAGAGGTGACTAACGGGATCGGGTTATCAGGCTAGCTGACTGGTTCACACATGTCATTGTATCCCAATTACGTAGATCGATGCTCATGATGTTGATCATACTGGATTTTGGCACTGATGCTCTCGATGAAGCAAATATATGCTTTGTTATGATGTCAGGTGTAATCTGTTAAATACATTTGTTGTGAAATGGCCTATGACATTTTAGTGTCACCCTCGCTGTTTGTGGCTGTTTAAATGATGTGGCCATTTGGACGAGGGATTTGTGGGCCCATTTGACTCTTGCAATCTTTTAGTGATGCCTTTGCTGCAGAAAAAATCCAGCAAAGTTGTCTCTATTTTAGGTCATGTTGACTTATGACGTTACGGGTAAAAATATTAATCTATTTTCGACCACAGGAAGTTATTTTCATTCATCATAGATATCCTAATATAAGATGTTCTTTCGTACAAATGTGATCTGTCGTAAAAATCGTAAAAGGGTTTACCTTTACTGTTCAAATATAGCGCCATTTCATTCTTTTTGACAGGTGCGTCGATAAGGAGGTCACGAGAGGTCATCCCATGACGTCATCCTCCCAGCATTCTTTGGAAACATGGCGACTGTGTGTTGAAGATGATGATGTGATACAGTACTTTGAGGATGATTTGACCAATTATTCTGCTCCGGAACGATTTAAAAACAAACTTGACAGCTGTCAGAGGTATATCTTGAATTACCTGGTATAATTCAGTTCGGATATTACCCAGACAGCTCTGTATTTTACCATCGGCATTCCGTCCCGCAAAATGATCAATGAATCCGAGCGATCCAGTTGGTCGCCAACACGAAGCGAATAATTTATTCTTCGTTTGATATTTGTCATAATAGTTAAGGTGGGATTTACGAACATTCTCTTGTGTCCCTAGTTATTCCAGAAAGGAGATAAAAATGGCTGCAGACGAAACAATCAAAGTTGTTTGCCGAGTACGACCCTTGAATTCAGCGGAGGAGAAGGCTGGGAGCAAATTCGTCTTGAAATTCCCAACAGACGACTCCATTGCAGTATCAGTAAGTACATTCTATCACTGAATATAAAAAAAGTAATACATGCATAAGGATAACTGTCATTCTGCAAATACGACCCTGTGACAGTTTATTCTGTACTGTGACGTAATGCTCACAACACTATAATGTTAATCATATGTTTATCATAATAAATACGCCTCCAGGTGACTTCTCAATTTTTCATCATTTTCATCGATAATGAGAAGAGATTTGTACCAGTTATATGTTTCCCTTAGTTGTCTCTCCCTTTTCTACAATACTGTATGTTGCATACTCGATGAATATGTATAAATAGTGTAGATTGATTATTGTATTGATTTTTCAAGGAAATTGCAAATGGCAGCCTTACTGGTTGCACGCAGTCTGTCGCAGATCAATAATAAACAATTGTTGATAACAGGGCAGGATGGATAGAATTTCCAGTGTATCTATACTCTTGAACAGTATGGATGTTTACATTCAGGACTGATGCAAACTTATTGCATTTCTTAACACATTAAACATGATTTGTAAACAATGATTAAAAATGCAGTTCTCATATTCACAAGGTATAATAATAGTGTGTGCAGAACTGTTCTTCAAATGCAGTTAGCTCAATGTGTATCACATATTAAACTTCAGTATGGAATTGTAAATTGACATCATTGTAATCTTGTAAATTCATAATTTGTCTGTACACTCTTTAATAGTCTGTGTGATGAGCTGATAATTGTAATACCATTCTGTCCATTCTGTCTATTATCAATAATATGTTTACTATCTCTGCATAATCATGATAATGAATGAAATACTTCCATGCTGACATTGTCATAAGCCAAATTGAATCTGTAATATTTTCCATCATTAGGCATTATAGTCAGCTTAAAGGAATGATGATCTAATGAATGTACTAATAGTATTATGACCTAATGCTCTTTCACAGTTTCCGTTTATGATCTGACAATGCTCTAAGTGATCTACCAAACAGACTGTCACGTTACGTAATAATTACCACACATGATCCCACGCATCCTTTCCACACCTGTACTGGCCTGGTTTGCCGTAATGAGTAATACATTTATTGTACAATGTTGGTTGTTTGCTTCAACTTCTGTGATCGTTGCAACAGAGAAGTACCGGTACATGTGCTGTGAGACCACATGTGCCTGGCCTTGACTTACAGCTGAGAACCTGCTGGAAATGTCAGGAATTCACCACAGATGCACATGTAGCTTTTATCTCAGCTCAACAGCAATGGCTTCAGGTGATCATGGGTCTCTGAAGAGAAAAATGTTGAAAGAGCTATTTCTTTTTATGGGGAGTATCGTTTTGGGTCAAGTTAAGAATAAGGGTCTATTTTTAATTCTTTTGTCACTCGGACCACGTGGTTTTCATCTCTCATTCATATAGAGTAGGGGCTTGATCAATCTGAGGTTAGTAATATTAACAAACAGTGGCCTCTTAATCAAAATGCTTTGGTAAATAAATGTTTTTTATCTAAATAAATGTGATGTCAAAATAGTTTTTCTTTACTCAAACAAGTCAGTAGTGCATCATATCACCCTTAGGAGAGTTTTGTGTGTGTCTATATTTTTATTATTATTTAGTAGGTACGATTAGCTCTTGTTGCTACTCTGGGTTCATTTGTTTAGACCAGTTTCAGCCAATCCTATTTACTAAATTTCTGTCAGACGCATTGGTAGGTTTTATATCTATCTGTTATTGCGGAAGCTTCAGTCAATATGCTTTGTAAACAGCCACAGGTTACTCCTCTTCAACAGAATATGAAGTAATGTTGACAGAAGGTGCAGTTATCTAATACCTCTGATATACAATGACACTCCCATTTGTTCATGTGGGTATGTACATCTATGTTGAGAGGGTGTGATCAGTTGAATGTTCTTTTCTAGCATAATCTAGGTCACCTGTGTATGCAGCTTTATGATGGAAATGAGATGACGTTTTTAATGTTTGGTGGGATGAGCAAAGGAAAGAGATATGTAAGATATGGAAATATTTCCTCCGCATCTGTTTGATTGTTGTGAAATTCTGCGAAGTTGCTAGGTTACTTTAATTTGGCATTTCAATATCAGTACACTGACAGAAAAATACAGTGATATGTTCAGCATAAATTTAAAGATGAGACTACATTGATATGTTTCTAGCTCTCTCTTGCATGATTAGGCTTTCAATCATTGTCATGTAGTTTAGACTATATTTGTGATATAATCTTAACAAATAGTTCAACAAACAAATTGCTTCACTATGAGTGGGTAAAACTGTAGGACAGTATTTGAGGTGTAAGAATCCTACTATTGATATTCCAGTTTGTTTATGTATATAGGCAAACACATTGTAGATATGTATCGATTTGATAGGTTTCGACATTAACATTACATTGTAGATATGTATCGATTTGATAGGCTTTGATGTTAAAATTACATAGCAGATATGTATAGATTTGAATAGGCTTTGAAATTAAAACTACATTGTAGATACGTATTGATTTGACAGGTTTCGACATTAACATCACACTGTAGATATGTATCGATTTGACAGGTTTCGACATTAACATTACTATGGTAATCTGGGAAGGTCAGATTGATGCTGGAGTATTGTCTATGTGGGATGTCACTTTAATCAGCTGGTACAACTCTGTTGGCATTTTAATTTTGGTGACTGTTGAAAATACGAAATAGTTTCTTACCCTATTTGATAGCAGTATGTGTGTGAGTGACACTGTAACTGTAAGCAATGCATAAACGCTTTTAAAAATGTGTTGAATGGGTGAACGTGATGAGTAATCTTCAGGGAGGGGTAATGAGAATTGTAATCTGGAATGAACATTATAGATTTTATATCTCCAGTTACTTCATAGACCTCTGGGCAAGATTAAAGATAAAATCAGCCACCCAGTATTGCACCATTTCAGTATCTGATTTTAGGTCACAGTGATTGTTATTATATTCAAAGGACAATTATCATAATTTAAAGGAAAGGATTCTTTGCTGTACATGTCTATTTTATGTAGTATTTCACTGATTCGCAAATATTTATGTACATGTATGTGTGATTGAGAGGGTTTTTGTCTGGAATGAGAAAAACTTAGACTTCATAGGGCATTGTTGGGGTGGGTGTGTGTGTGTATGTGTGTTCAACTTTTCAAGTAAACTCACCAATGATATCAGTGTTACATATATGAGGATTTTGTTTACATTATATATAAATTAACTTTATTTATTAAACTGAAATCAGTACTATTACCAATTTAAGATTGTGTCGAATGTTTCATGAACATACATTCAGGTATTTTCTCAAAATGTATGGCAACAAATATGTAGACACATACCATAAACAATGATCAAAGTAGCAAATACATTATTTATAAATTAACTGTATTTATTAAACTAAAATCACTACTATAAACAATTTATGTTTGTGTCGATTGTTACATGAATGTAGGTGTATTTGTCTAGATGTATGAGTACTATGACAACAAATATCTACACCCATTCCATAAGCACATAAGCAATGATCAAAGTAGCACATATTCTTGTGACCATATTGTACCTGCAATTGAATAAATATGTCCTGCATAGATACATGGGTGAGTCTTTTGTTGAGCCTGCATTAAAAACACACCAGACCCTAAACACATGAGATGTAATGACATGGGATTTGAGGTCAGCTGGTCACGGTCAGTGGGCAGGGTGTATACATCAACATCACTCAATATGCTTGTGAATAGGGTCACTGCCCCGGGTATTGATGACCAATCTAGGTTACACATTCTTTCCAGAAACTATCTGGTGCAGGGAGATCAGGTTTGTTGTATTTGGATTGAGAAATGACATCACAGCTAGCAACTTGTATAGAGTGAGTAGTTCAAAGTTGGTCACAAGACAAGAATTCAGATTAGTTTAAATGTCCAGATTGTTTACAAGTCCCAAAGACTCTTTGTCATTCATAATGATATTGAATTGTATTATAAATAATTCACCAAATCACAAAATGTCTGATGTATTGTCTCATTTTTATCCGGTTCATAACAACATATAGATGAAAGGAAACATACAGTATATTGTAGAACATGGACCATGTGAAAATCCGTGTTAGAACTGGTCTTCAGCAACCCATGATTGTCGTAAGAGGCTACTAACATAATCAGTGGTCAGACTGACTTAGTTGACACATGTCATCGTATTCCAATTGTGAAGATGTTCATGACGTCAATCACTGAATTGTCTGGTCCAGGCTTGATTATTTACAGACCACTAACCACTATAGTACAGTGTTCACGAATAGTGTCTGACCCTGTGACAAATCCGGCAGATTTGCTAACGGTCCGATAGAAGTCTACAACCCACCAGCCCCAGTGTCTGACTGTATATTTCACAATGACTTTGACTTAAGTTGTTTTATCTGACATGTGACACTTATTTGCTGTTTATATATCTTGTGTTTGTTAATAATTCCAGTGCCAGTTATAAGAAATGTTAAATCTGAAATGTATGTTTAATTTTATTCTATGGGTCCTGTGAATTTTCAATGGGTCAGACAGACATCTGAAACTTGCAGGACCCAATGTCCTGTTACCTTGAAACACCATTCGTGAACACTGATAGTATAGCTGGAATATTGCAGAGAGTGGCGTTAAACAACAACAACATGTTTAATGTTGCTTATATTACATAGTTATCGTGTTTAGTGAGAATATAAATGTAGAATTATAATTGTTTTATAATAATGAATATATGATAGTTATTCACCACCAATACTTTTCTAGGTGTGAAATATTCTTATCAGGACAGTATTGACCAGGTTTAACATGAGATCACATTGTTCAACAATAATGTTCACAATAAATAGAACATGTGTTACCTTGTTATGATATTCAGGTTATAATGTAGTGTTATTTCGCCCACTCCTCCCACCCCTGTGCACTGGAAGTGTGCTTACTGTAGGTGTGCAGTGTATGGGGTGAGTAGAGGCTGTATATGAGGACAATACCTCTGAATACCTCCTTCCCACTGAACTGTGTCTACCTCCATTCATACACACCATCCCTTAATATAACCAGTGAAATGTTATCATGTGATAATTTCCGGTCTAGGTCTGAGTGTTATGGTTAATTTGAAACTGAAACATTGTTTCTGTGTAATCAGGGTAGATATACTATACTGTAGAGTAGCATGGGATAATAGATTATGCAAGAATCAAATCCCTTTTAGCTTATTTAATAGTATTGTAATGGCTTTTTTGATATATAGGTATCTACAATAAAATAGATCCATGGCTTGAAATCTAGTCAACTGCATCACAACCTGAATTTTATGAAGAAGTCTACCATTACAGTCCTAATGTATATACTTAAGTTACCGTATGAATACCGAGGGGGTTTGAGATCCATAATGCTATGTGTATAGTTTATGCTGTAATTACAGCAATTCACATTGTAACTATCTCCAGGTAAAGGCAAGCACATATGTCTATGCATTCTAGACAAACAGAGAGACACTGTGATGACGATAGTGATAAATTAACCAGATCATAGCTCTGGGATCCAGCATTGAAGTGATAATACAAACAGTAGACAGGCTGGATTCAGCTAAATTAACAAACAGACTGTTGAAAATTACATGAAGCTATTGGAATGGGTTTGTAAACATGTTGGTAGGTCACACAGTCCCTGAACCACATTATTTTCTCTACTGCCTAGCCCTCTCTGTAATACTAAAGCTCTAAATGAAGCAAGTCTAGATGTCCTCAGGTTCTGAATCTCTCATTTCACTGGGGCTTCTTTTCAGTTTAATTGGTATTAGATTATCATTATAAGCCTCACTCTAAATACATATATGTCCGTGAACAAATAAGTGTAAAAATTTAATTGAAAAGTGGTTATTTGTGGAATTGAGTTGTGTGTGTTACAAGCTTTCTGAACCACTTGTCGTAATATTTCTTGCATTCACTGGCTCCTTGTTCTCAGGAATGAAGATTCATGACACAGTATCCCAGCTGAAGGATTTTTAGGGATGATCACCAGGTTTCAGCTTAGTGTTGACAAGGACATACTGACATAGATGATGTCATATTAAGACTAATCAGTTATAACATCACTGATGTGTCTTAAGGGGATGGCAGTAGAGCATGTCAAGCAAGGAATTGTAAGTGGATGCCTGCAGCTCTATATAAGCAGCTTTGTGATAGGAGTTTAATGTGGACAGATAACAGTCTCATATCTAGTGATTCAGAAAAAAATATTGTTATCAGATGAAAGTAAAATGCCAAATAACAGGTTGCTAGAACCAGCTTCAGACATATTATGCTGAGGGTACAAAAGTTGTACAAGTAATGAAAATGAAAACTAAATTTTGTTATGATGCTTGTCATATTCAAGTTTTGATTTATCTTGTGTTATGGAAGCATAACAGACTGTTTTATTTTGTAATGCATCTTTTATATGACCATAACAATGAAAGGCCATAGCCCATATATATGTACACATACTCACACACACAGATGCACACGTACACACACCACTTTGAATTGTTTATTGAAATAATGAATCGTTAATTAAATGTGCTTTAACAGTTGTGAAGATTTTCCCATGATAAATGGGGTGGGGTAGGCTAATGGTTAAAGCGTCCGCTCATCACGCTGAAGACCCGGTTTCGATTCCCCACATGGGTACAATGTGTGAAGCCCATTTCTGGTGACCCCGCCGTGATATTGCTTAAATATTGCTAAAAAAAGCGGCGTAAAACCTTACTCACTCACTCCTATGAAAAATGTAATGTTTTACATTATTTAACTTTTTGAAATATTGTGCATCAATTAACTGATAACATTGATAAAGCATGGCTTGTAATGATAAGTATAGGATAACAACTAAAATCTGATTATTGAAATACATTTATGGATGGAAAAAATACCAGTGAATACCAATTACGTACAAGTGGAAGATGAATTACAAGCCGTAGTAAACCTCTTTCTTAGATATTGCAGCAGTACGTGCACAGCATGCCGTAGTCAACCCCTATCAGTAACCCAGAAAGTTACCTCACCTGACTGTACATTATCTGGGCCAGCTTGTGATGGGCAGGAGAGCCAGAGATATCTAAGTCATGTAACCTCCATTATGTTGGACCTTTATTCATACAGCTGCTGTTTTCTGACATAATATGGCAGTGCTTATGTCTTAGGTTCATGGTATTTCTGGAAATGTTTGAATCATGGAATCAACCTGATCCTGATTCCTGGTTTCTCATGACCATAATTGTGCTAGAGGATTGGGCCTAAGTGGTAAATTGGTTGGACCTGCATCACCTGGGGCTTTTGCCAAGCTTTAACTGATATGCGGTGAAGTAACTGAAATATTGAAAGTTTGAACGGTTAAACATAACTCTCGCACTGATGATTGGATATTGGAATATTGGGGCATAGGATTATGAATTTTGAAGGTCTGGGTTAAAATTGCTCTTCAGCAACACATGCTTGTAGTAAGACTTTACTTGCGGGATCAGGTGGTCTGGGTTGACATATTATCATACCCCATGTAGATCGATGCTCATGACGACACTCACTGGATTGTCTAGTCCAGACTGAATTATTTACAGACCACTGACATATACCTGGAACATATAGTTGGGTAGTGTAGTGGTGTATGTGTATCCATGTACACATGGGTTTAATTCCCATCATGGGCAAACAAATGTTATGGTCCCCAGCACTTCCGTCCCATTTTTTCGCACACTGATGTTAATCTGGTTAACCTAGAAGTCGCTCAGCTTAACACATTTCTGAATTAGGGGATTATGGTTGCATTGTTATTACATAGACATTCCCAGCAGGAATCATCCAGAAAACAGTTTCTGGACTTACGGATCTAGGTCAACAAGTTGTCTGTGCATTCTGCAAGTCCTGTGTCATTTTACTAGGCTTTCATTTCTAACATTGATTGTGGGATACAATCAGACATATAGACCTATATATGTATACTTGTACCTAGTATACTTCTCCAAGCTCAAGACCCGTGACGGTCCAGGTTAGAATGAGCCTTCAGTAACCCATGCTTGTCGTAAGAGGCGGCGAAAGGGAATCGGGTGGTCAGGCTTGCTGGCTTGGTTGACACATGTCATCGGTTCCCAATTGCACAGATGGATGCTCACGTTGTTGATCACTGGATTGTCTGGTCCAGACTCGATTATTTACAGACCGCCGCCATATAGCTGGAAAATTGCTGAGGGCGCGTAAAACTAAACTCACTCACTCAAAGCTGACCTCCTCCGGGGAGCGGAAGGTCGCGGGTTTGATCCCCGACCGCGTCATACCAAAACACGTTAAAATATGGTACTTGTTGGTCCCTGCCTGGCGTTCGGCATTAATGGGTACAACAAGGACTGGTCGGCTCGGAGTCAGTATAATGTGTCTGAGTGGGGTATTCATGCTTCACTGCGGCATGGTATCTCAGTGGGCTAGCACTATAAAACCAGCTTCAGTCTGGGCTAGTACAAGCAGCCGCACATACACATGCATGCACATCGTCATATGAGCGAAATATTCTCAAGCACGACGTAAAACCCAATTTCACCTCACCTCACCTAGTTTTGTAGGGCAAGGTACAACCATGATCCAAGCTGTTAGATTCAGTATGGCCATACATGTTGTTGATCCACATGGAGAGGTTACACCATTAATGGCATACTGCCAGGTTAAGTGAACATTGTCACACGGATGAAAGAGGAAGGGCAGCTAGATCAACAATAACTGATGGATTGAAGCACAACCAAGCTTAAGATTGATTATGGGGGGAGAGTTTGCAAGCAGACACTGCTGTTGAAATTCAACACTTTCTTGTATGAAAACTGACAGACATGCATTTTAGTTTCCTGTCTTGGAGTGAGTGAGTGAGTGAGATGGGTATAAAGCTGCTTGTACCGCCATTTTGAGGAGTATTCGTTTTACGTCGCAGCATGTCAGTCTAACTTGCCAGAAAAGCCTGGGTTAATGCTGGTGTCAGACGTTAACCACATCGGTGAAACCATGAGCTTGGGTATGGTTTGCGACAAACCTCAAACCATAATTAAGGGATTCAAACACAGTCATGTGTTCTGTCATGCCGAACTGTGCACTGCAGATTGTGGTACCTTTGACGTCTGGGCTACTTTGCCACCCCAATGTTGTGGATGTAGACATATTGTTTTGTTCAAGTAAATCCAATGATCACATTTCTTTTAAGATATGAATCCATGTTTGAATTCAGATTGCGGCAAACCTCAAGGACCCAGTAACCTCTTTAAATTGAACACTGTAGGGTAGACAAGGTTTGACAAATTTCATGCTATCTGGGAGCACAATAGATGTTTTGTTAAGAAGAAAACATTAAAAACAATTTGGCTGATTTTGGATATATTTTTGTCACAACTTCTCTGACCTTTCAGTTAGTGTTTAGATGAACAACAAAAATATGACTGACAGTTATGGGGTTTCAGGTCACTATTTGATGTTCACATTATTGTCATTTGACCTGCGTATTTGTCAAAACCGGTGTATGTAAGGTTTAAGCAAGAATGTGTTGGAAATGCCTTTATGTTCTTTGTAACCTCATTCCTGCATTGTTTTGTTTTAGAACAAAGTGTTCGTGTTTGACAAGATCCTCAAGCCTAATGTCACCCAGGAGCATGTATACAATGTTGCAGCTAAACCCATTGTTGCAGGTGAGTGTCGTGTTTTAAATCTCTTAGAACATGGATTTTAGATCATAGTGTGATGATTGATAAAAGTCATTATTGTTTGGTAGCCAAGATTTCAGACAGAAAGCAGATATGCGTACCCACCCTGTCAATCCTGGTTGACGATGTTGGAATTCCAAATTTTGTCTTATTTTTCAGTTTCGTATGGTTGTAGGAGCTGATTTTATTCGGGTTTGGTGGGTACAATGGCTACCATGGTTATTACATAAATTGTTGACCGCTTGAAGTATAATGATATGGCACTAAGGTGTCGCGATACAAGATTCAGTTACACAACATCCATTTACAACTCATGTGTAGTGATGCATGGGTGCATTTCACGTGATATTAGTGTAATAACACGACAATAATGACAAACACTGTTCAAAAACCAGCTCATGCAGATTGTAATATTTCTTGACAAGCAATGCACATCAGAACAGTCACACTGATTTCTTGCCGTAATGTTCCGTTCTGCAATGTGTTTTTTTTGATAACTGAAATAGAAAAAATACTTATTATTTAGTGATTTCATTTATATCCAATAAGAAAGAATATCCCCTTATGAAATAATTGCATTGTATTGGGATATATATCATATTGCACCCACGGTATAGGAATATGTATCGTATCCAGACCCCACCATATCTTTGCTTCTGTAGAGTTACCAGATCATTGGTTTCGATGGTTCAAGATTCCACAGGGGCACACAACATTGAATATCAGGCATAGTGGTGCCAATTCTGGCCCCAGCCTTTGATATTTTCAAAAGGAGATTAATTATCACCTGCACTGGACTGATTTATTTAGACCCGCAACAATTACCTACTTTGCCCACATTAAAAAAGAGTGGTAATGGTTTTACTCTGAAATTCCTAGGCAGAAGCAATTAGAACTTTGAAAGTAAGTCTCTTTTCAGTTTGCCCTGCTTTGAAAGTATGTAAAAAGCACATCAGGGTCAGTGAGCTCACATTGAGGTTCTCTTTAACATTTGAAGATAGGATAATGTAGGCCTTACTCAAGTTTGGAAGGCCCCTGGGGTATCATTAACTGCACTGCAAGCAAATCATGTTGTGTTGTAAGAATAGTGTGATAATTCCTGTAAATTCTGGAGAAAGGTTGTGATTTTGTAACAGCTGTTCATGTTGCCATGGGCATTTGAGGTTACCATTGAATTTTGAAAGTCATCTCTATGTTCTTAAGGTACATGCAGTGTGGTATAGTTGAAATGGGACTCCAAGGTTTTCTTTGTTCTTTATAATGTCTGGTTGATTGTCATATTATTCATATGCCTATGTATTTAATGTTCAGTTCCTTATGCCACAAGTATATATACCTTATAAAAAGTTTTGTAATTATTTGTATCATTATCCTAATATTTAAACAGAATTTCATTCACAAGTGGTGTTTCCCTTTATAATTGAATGAGGGGCAGTGGGGTAGCCTGTGGTTAAGGTGTTCGTTCTTCCCCCCAAAGACCCGGGTTCGAATCCCCACATGGGTACAATGTGTGAAGCCCATTTCTGGTGTCCCCAGAAAAGCGGCGTAAAACCAAACTCAGTCAGTCAGTCAGTATAATTGAATGACAAAAGCGTGGAATTGTTGTCTCTCTCACATTGTTATTTCCTTGTATCCATGACAACAAAATCAAAGCGACTGACCATACAGAGAGATATTGCATCAGTTTGTAGAAACTAGGATTTACATGTACAGTCAGTGTCAGTCACTGTTAAACACTTAATCTTCCAATATATAATGCAGTACATACGGTAGTGCAGCCAATACGCACCACTAGTCTTCAGACTGACAGTACATCAGCACTGAGCCATGATAGCTGTTCAACCAAAGTCTTGTCAACTTTTGTCTGCGGACAGGAAATGGCTCAAGCATGTCCCAAGAATGCCCCAAGAAATGTCCCAAATGTTCCATGCTGTTCAAGCATGAGTCTTGTCAAACTTGTGTTTGTGGGAAGGGAATGTCCCAGGTATGTCCCAATAACTGACCCAAGAAATGTCCCAAATGTTCCATTCTTATAAACAGACACCCGTGAAGGTCTGGGTTAGAATATTGATCTTCAGTAACCCATGCTTGTCATAAGAGGCGACTAACGGGATTGGGTGGTCAGGCTCGCTGACATGGTGGACGCTTTTGCTCAAAGAAAATTTTTCAGAAAGTGATTGTGTACAAGTTTGAGCTTGTGGACTCCAAAGTGTTTGGCACCGACTTCAAACACACCCCTTCATTATAGAATCATTCAGTAATTCATTATTTCCAGTGACTGTTAGAAGTGGTTGCTTTTCAAATTCATGGCATGGCCTGTACACATTAGCATCAGTTGAATCGTGTTCCCTCTTTGATTGCTCTGTAGCCTCATCCGGACATCAAAGCGTTCGCTATGGTGATGACATGCTATCTACCATCAGAAGTACTGGCACCAGAATGTCTCTGAAATTAAAGTTAAGATGAAACTTCTCTCAAATTGTATTGATCTTTGCCTTACAATCAAAGTGGCTAATCAGCTTCTCAAAATTTCCCATGCATTCCAGCATTCCATGTTTGGTGCATGAACTAGACAGTTGCATTAACGGAAGGCATTTTTTATATGGTATGGTTTCTCACAGTTGGTGAATAATTACTTTATCCCATTGCAATGGAAAGTTCTTTGATGGGCAATCAGTTTAAATTTATCAAGGCTTGAAACAAACATTCAATTGACTTGTAACTTTAGGTGATTTGGGATATTTTTTGCTGGTTGTCAGATTGTGTCAGATATTTGATACAGGACAAACATTCAGCCTGTGAAATCATATATTACACAATATATGTGCTTATTATTCAAAAATGAAAAAAAGTTTTCATTAAATAGCCAGCTTGGTTCACTGTGGCCTGAACATGTCCTGTAATAATGCCAATGTGTGGTTAAAGATTCAGTCACACAGTCTGGAAAGTCAGAAAAGTGATTCAGGGTTGGAGTTTGCAGATTAGGGTCCATTTGACATCATTTTAGACAGATGAAACGTTCACTAACACACTTTCTTATGAGGGAGGACCACTTGCTGGTAGAACAGCCAGGTGTGCGAGTTGTACATGTGAAATTGAAATTTCACTGCACGAGCTTCTTGATTACCTGGTTGTTCTACCAGCAAGTGGTCCCCCCTCTTAACAAATAATGAAAAGTGACAACAAAATAATGATCGTTTGTTAAACAACTTTTTTATTCGGGAGTCCAAAATTATGAGACAAATAATCAGAGTTGGTCTGTCGATTTCATGTGACTGTACAAAATTTGCTTTTGTTGCAATTATTAGATATTGTGTTAGTGAGCAACTCTATCTGTCTAAAATGAAGTCAAACGGACTATAGGGTCAATGATGCATAGGCGGATCCAGAGGTGGGGGTGCAGGGGTGCGCACCCTCCCTTTTTGTCCTGAAATTTTATTAGATGACCATTGAAACTCTCGTGAAAATGAGTGTGCATCCCACCTTTCTCAAAAAGCTGTATCCGCCCCTGTGATGGAATAGGACACATGCATATGTTTGGCCAGATCATCTAGACTAACCTGGATCAAGTTGAAGGCAGACATTCCTGAGTCATGTTCCAGGTGTAGAAGGTCCCTCAGCCGGGTCTTCTTGTATCTGCTGCCATGTCTAACAATGAGATGAAAACACACACACACCACAAGCAGTTCTGGATGTCAGGTTTCATTGACTTCAACAATGCTTGCATATGGAGGAAGGCTATAATATACCTTTAGCTCAATTATTTTGATTATTGGTTGGGATTATTGTAGCTCTACATGTTTATTCAGCTGTTTGGTAATTCTTTTACTTTGCAGAGCAGTGTATTTGAACATGTCGAGGATTCGTTGGATAGACCTCATTTTTCATCTTGATCATGTTGCATTGACTGGCTTGACATGTTGCTGCAAACTTATCATGATAAATGTGTTATCTGTACACAAACAGATGTTTACACAATCAGCCTCCTGTGTTTTAAATCTGCTGCTGATAATCTTGAAAAACATTCATTCATTCCTCTAGATTAAGAAACCACATGTACCTGTGAATGGGAGTCGCCATTGTATCCTTGAGTTTAGTCCCCAACTTTGGAGCCTAGTTGTCAGAAATGTCTTCATTCTGTGTAAAATGTTTTTTTGACTACCAGCCCTGACATGGCTCATGGCACATATGTTTTAGTAGATCTGATACTGATTTAGCTGAGCTTACTAGATCAAACCAAATTTTACTTAACTCAGGCTGTTGACTTGTGGCTTGAGTGGCAGACTTATTAAGTGTTTTCTTTGCAAAGGTGACTCTTATTTTATTGATAACATGACGACAAACAAGAAAGAGAGCTTTAAAGAACATTTTTATGTTCCATTGAATACAACATGAAAAGACTTCTTGAAGAAATCTCTTTTTTCTAACATCCTATCCATAAGCTTTTAGCTTTATGACCTCTGGCAAATTTAACGTACACCACTCACAAATGTTAAGGACCCCCTGATTCTTTCATATTGCTATGCATAATTTGTCACGGCATGGCAGATTAGCTGTAGTAATATGAAAGAATTGGGTTGTCCTCTTAACTTGAAGTTGTGTAGATGTAAACTGGTTCAGAATACCTGTGCTATGCTCCCCATTGGTATTGTTTTTTTCTGTTGTAATAGCGAAACATGCCAGAGCTCGAGATGTATATCAGTAACATAGAGAAAGCAAGTCAGACTGGTATCAGGGAGACAACCAGAGATGAAGTGATAACTCTGACAGTGGTGGAACATGACCCAAACTGCCCAACAGCTCTCTGAGTTAATGTTACTGACAGCAGTCAAAGTCAGTAGATCATGTGGAGGTATGGAAGAATGGCCTGGACAGGGATCTACCTTGTACATCTTGTGTATTTCTGTACTGGGTCATTTACGCGTCCATGAAAATTAGCAGCATTGATAGAGACATGATTAGCAGGCTGAATCTGAAAATACATG